CAAACTGAGGGGAACATAGAGAAGAATGGAGCGATCCTTAAGAGATCGGGAGAAGAACCAGGGTGACTGACGTCATCGAAAGGATAGCCAGACTAAAATGGAGATGGGACAGGACACATAGCTAGAATTACGGATGGGCGATGGAAAAAGAGGTTATTGGAATAGAGTCCAAGAGAAGATAGAAGAAGCGTCGGTCGACCACCTCTATGATGGATGACGATTTAAGAAAACAAAATAAAAACTAAATGAGAGTCGCGCAATATAGACGGGCTCGGAAACACAAGAAAGAGGCGTATGTTTAGCACTGGACTTGTGAGGTGAAATGATGATGATAATGAAAACACCTTTAGAGAAGCCTTAAATGAATCAGAATATGTTATTGCAGTAAATGGCCAACTTATAAACAATATTAGATATGCAGATGATACCGTATCTAAATATCTTAAAATGCAGCAACTAGAATCACACACGGAATATTTTGGAATAAAAATATAAGACAAAGAGCAAAGAAAAAAGTGTTTTATTATAATTAGATAAGATAGGTGGAAAACAGAAAGAAGATAGCGAGAAATGGATATCAAGTAATCCATAACAGGATAGAAAATCGCACATTAGGATGGCATGGATATATAGAAAGAATACCCAAAGATAGATGGCCTATTAAAATCTTAATACGGTCAGCAGGACTAGAATAAAACAGGAAAACATGTATAGAGAATAATGAGCGAAAGGAATTTAAATGAAAACAACAAACAAAAGATGCAAAAAAAGATGTAGATGCAAAAGGTCAACTTATAGAAGAAAATAGTAAAAATAAGTATAAGCTATTTAGGACATGTCAAATACAGTATAACGCAAGGAATAAAAAAATCAACATAAATTTTGATTGAAGTATGAAATTAGAGAAGAAATACACTGAGAATGTAAACATTATGTGAAGTAAAATCAAAAATTATATTATAAAGACACAGAACGAAACTTTACAAAACAGAAGAAAGTCGATAACCTTGGATGACAAAAGAAATAATGAAAAACATGGAACAAAGGAAATATAGAAACAAAGACCCAAATAAATACAGAGAAAAATATAAATTAATGAGAAAAAGAGGCTAAGAAAAGGGAATGATGGAAATATGCATTGAAGTGGAGGAATTGCAGAAAAAGCATGGACGGTCATTATAATCTACATGAAAAAGTCAGATAATTATCTGGAAAATCACGATCAAACACACCTAACCGATTAATTGACAAAAACAATAAACCTATTAATAACCCAATTGAAATAAAACAAGTATGGACTAAATATACTGACGATCTTTTCATGGACACAAGAACGGAACCAACACAAATTAGCAAGGAAGCTCCAAAAATATTAAAATCTGAAGTCCAACATGCTATAAACAACTCAAAATCTGACAAAGGCCCCGGACCAGATAAAGTTCACATAGAGCTGATTGAACTTATAGATGAAGTCAATTTAAGCGCAATAACTCTCCTTTTTAACAACATATACAAATCTGGTGAGGTACCTACAGAATGGCTACTATCGACCTTTGTTCCGCTACCAAAAACCAAGAATCCCAAACACTGTAATGACTATAGATTGATCAGCTTAATAATATTGAAAACATTTTAAACGGTTATGCATGAAGAATATTCAGAAAGCGCGAAGCAGATATGAGTAATAGACAGTTTGGCTTTCGTAATGGCTTCGGATTAGTAGAAGCTCTGTATATTTTTACAACTCTTACTCAAAAATGACAAAGTTAAACATAACAATCTTATGGAATGTCTAAGGCGAAAAGGACTCGACAAAAATGATATTAACATAGTGAGAAATCTTTATTGGAATCAACAGGTTATGGTAACATTACATGGCAATAGCACGGATGCGCAACAGATAAGCAGAGGTGTGAGACAAGGCTGTGTACTTTCACCATTACTATTTAATATATACTCCGAACAATTAATCACACAAGAACTTAAAAACTGTACAGAAGGGATCAAGATAAATGGTGAAAATATAAATAACATTTATACCGACGATACAGTCATTATCGCTGAAAGTGAGGAAGACCTGCAGACGCTACTAAACACAATTTGTAATACTAGGGAACAGTTTGACTGAAAAATAAACATAAAGAAAACAAACACCATAGTTATCGGTAAGAGGGGTAAAGTCATAACAAGAATCAGATAAAAATGAAAATATTGAAGAAGTAGACAAAATGAAGTACTTAGTAGTCTGAATTACTAAAGATATAAATCCAAAATCATAAATTCGATGAAGAATAGAACAATCAAGAGCAGCCTTTTTGACGATGAGGAAATTTCAGAGTAACCAAAGATTCAATCTGCAAATCCGATATCGGATGGTAAAATGTTATATCCACTCTATTCTTTTTATGGTGCCGAAGCTTGAACTGTTAGTATTGACTTAATGAGAAAGCTGGGAGCTTTTGAGATGTAGATTTAAAAAAAAATTAAAAATACCGTGAACCGATCATATTACGAACGAAATGGTTTTGCACAGAATGGGAAGAGACAGTGAACTTTTGACCACCATTAAAAAGAGAAAGACAGCATATTTGAGGCATATACTTAGAAATGACAAGGACGAGTTGTTGCAGACGATTATGAAATTTAAAATCGAAGGAAAAAGGTCTCCTGATAGAAGACAAATATCCTGGCTAAAAACATTCGCAACTGAACCGGGTTAAACACACAGACGTTTTTAAGAAAAGCAGAAGATAAAGACAAATTTTCAACGTTTATAGCCAACCTTCATTAGTCGAGTCGGCACTAGAAGAAGAAGAAGAATAATATGATACAACAAAAAAATTAGCAAACTGTAAGTAATGACTGATAAGTAATTATTTATTCCTCTGTCTATATGTTTCGGTGGTCATCTTAGTTTTAAAACTACCAAAAATGATTTGATCTTAGATCCACATTTCTATAAACCCTTACATCTGCCATATATAGCTGTTTATTTACAAAATCAATAATTGTATATTGAATATATAAACAATGATGTATTTTCTATATGAATAGATGAATTATTATTGAAAATCATTAATTATATGCCAGAAAAGCATTAAAAACCTTATAAAATAATATCAAAAACGACCAAAAACCTCTTCAAAGTATCTAAACAACATCATCGTTGCTGTATTTGATGCCAATTAATACATATTTCGTATAAAATCTCGAATAAGCACTTCATCTTAACTAGTTAGATACGATTTAGTCCTAACGAGGAAACTAATTGTGTCTTAGCTAGACCTTATGGCCTATAACAAGAAATTTTGAATATTAATTATCTCGGCTAGGTCAGTCTCTTATTTTTATTGGCGAATAAAAGTACATACAACGAATAATTTAACTTCATTTAAGATTTCCTACATCTGTGAGAAGAATCAGAAGAAGATATACATTTGAAATGGTAGATAATATGTACGAATTTATGAAAGACTAAAAAATAAAGAAGTAACAAAGACTAACTAGGCAGTGAATATAATAATATAAGTTATCCAAGTAACAAAAAGTAACTGAACTAAGTGAACTGCGGTGTACTATAAAACTTTTAAAAATAGGTAGATCTAATAAGGTATAAATAACAGAAACAAAATAAAATGTAATAACGTAAATGCACTAGTACTTGACACTGTACCAGTAGTTGACATTTTCCATTTTAAGCATAAATAATAAGCTTTTTAAATTATTTTTAATGTAATTATTATCATCATAGTTAACTAGTGTCATCTATACATCTTCTCTGTAACTGTAGATTATTTAACCCTGAAACAGAAAATTCCCACCAAATTTTTGTCAGAGTGCTGTGTGAACTTCAAGTGGCAACAAGTTTTCTAAACAAAAGTATTAAGAAGGTAAGTTTAAAAAAATTAATATTTATTGATTAAATTGTGAATGACTGTAGTTTTAGATATATTAATATATTATATGAATATTAAGGTAACATCTTGCTAATGTTTTAAGTTTGTTTTATTCTCAAAACAAAAATTAGGCTAGGTGTCAATTACTAACACACAAATACACAAAAATACTAGTAGTTGACATAGGTGTCAACTACTAACCATTTATACTGAGACTGTAAAAACTTAATATTTTATTGTTATTTTCATTGTATATAATGTGTACACTTATATTTTAAATATCACGTAAATGTATCCACTCTATCTAGTAGTTGACACTATGTCAACTATTGAAACACTTTGGATGTCAACTACTAAAACAAAAATTTTAAATTTCAGTTAAAAATATGTCTCCTATACAAGGACAAATGTTCCAATATACAGAAGAAGCTATGGAAAAAGCTATTGAGGAAGTTCTATGTGGAAAGCCAGTTTCAGCAACATTTAACATTACACACTAGTAGATTTTGCACTGAACATGGTATTATATTGGTAGCCCTTCATCCAAATGCAACACACTTGCTTCAGCCAATGGATGTTGCTGTATTTCGTTCTTTGAAAGGGGGTTGGAAAGATGCAGTACACTAGTGGCGGATTGAGAATCAGGTTTCCCCAGTTTGAAGGAAAATTCACTTCTGTCCTCTTTTGAAAAAAGTTCTAGAGGAAAGGTTTAGTACCATCAATTTTAAAAAATGGTTTCAGAAAATGTGGCTTAGTTCACTGGGATGTTGGTGCGATTATGTTTCACAATGAGAAAATAGACATTTCAAAGAAAATGCAGGAATTGCAGGAAATGAAACAAAGGAAAAACTTTATAGAGAAACATATTGATAAACAAAAACTAGCTCTTTTCAAAACAAGCCTAGAATGGAACAATGACGATCAAGATTTATCTCTCTTTCACTTTTACAAAAACATTTTGAAAAAACAGTCTTTTAGAAGAAGAAATAAACAATTTGAAAGCAAAACAAGGTGCGAAAGAACCAGATGATGAAAACAATATTATTGAAGATGCCACTTATATTGAGGACATACCAAATGTTGAAGACAGCCCTAATGTTAAAGACATTTACGTAGAGAACAAACCTGATAAGCCAGTCGAAGAACAGTATGAAATAGGTGAGTTATTAAACCAATCTGAGGCTGAAACAGGTAGAAACATTTCGGATGTTTTGGAAGGTCGCACTAGTCCCACTAGGAAAAATCTTCAACATAACAATATTGCTATTATTCAAGACACTTGTGCTTCTTCATCAACACAATCGCAAGTTCCATCTTCAGCAATTGAAGAATTACCTACACCTTCTACATCAAATGAAATTATACCCTCTCCTTTTAAACAAATACTGTTTTAGCCTGAACCCAGAGTATCCGCAGTAAAAAAAAGAAGAGTGGAAAAAGTTCCTTCTGTGGCTAGTTCAAAAGAATGGCAAACTTATCATGAAAATAAGAAGATCAAGCTTCTTGAAGAAAAACAGAAAAGAGCAGAAGAGAGACAAAAGAAGAGAGAAGAAAAAAACTTTGTTAAAAAACAGAAACTAAAGGTGATGAAAAAAAAAGTAAGTAAGAAAAAGGAAGAATCATCAAGTGATAATAATGAATCATGGGTTGAATCTGGTAGCAGTCTGGATGATATATCTTTTGAAGTAGGTGATTGCAGTGATAAGGATACTGATCATGTAAATTATATGGAGGGGGATTATGTACTTTCAAAATTCCCTGGAAAGAAAAAAGAATATAAATTTGTATGTGTAATACAAAAAAATTTTCAATAATTGTGAAGCAGAAGTTGTGGGTATGAATTACTGTGATGACAGTAAAACTTCATTTCAAATTAATGATAAAGATGTGAGCATAATAACATTTCATCAAATCCTAAAAAGGATGCCCCAACCTCAGATACTCATTTCAGGAGAAAGAATAAAGTATCAGTTTCCAGATTCAGTGGATGTGGATGGCTAACATTAAAGTTCTCCTGTAATTACATATTCTTAATAAAATTATCAAAATATATTTGGGTGTCAATTACTAAACCTTAGATGTGTCAACTACTAATTTTTTTTCATTTTGTTGTGTCCATTTGTGTCATTATTTAGAAAGCAGAATTGTCCAAAAATTTATTTATTAAATATTCAGGAAGGATTAGATTACCTGAATATACATATATTTTTTATTTAAGTTCAACTACATCGGTTTGAGGCTAAATAATGTTTTTTTCTTCTTCTTATAATGTCAACTACTAGTACATGTACCTTAATTCGTCCATAAATATTATATGATTAATTCGTATTAAGGAAAATTCATAAAAAGTTTATTCAAATAAATTACTTCTATCTGCCCTTTTTTATAAATCTTAAACACCGTATTCTAACAATAATTATAAGAATATGATAAAATAAAGGAAAAGTGGTATTCACTGTTGATTTGCCTTTATATGTTGTAATACTAACAAAATTTACTTTTCTTTTGTTTAACAATACAAATTTACTACTTTATAAGACTACTTATAAAAGATACGTTAAATAAAGTAAGCAGTTAAAGAATATTAAAAATATAGACAGCGTTTTGGGTACTACCGTACCCTAAAAACTACATTGATTCTAAAAACAGTTTTGAGTCGAGTTGGCAAAATTTAATAAAGCATGTAATACTTATAATGTTCTAACAGACACGCAACAGGTGACATAATAATTGTTCATTGTAATTTTTGTTTGACGTGTACCTCCGATCGATCAAAGAGTGTAAACGTACTTGCTCGCCTAAATTCCTTTACTTACCAATCCTGAAACTTCTTTGTTCTAACCATTAGATCACGAGTCATCATAGCCAACCTAGATGACTCTCACTGTAAGTACACTAAGCACTTCCTAGAACCAAACAACAACGTTTCTGACGTCAGCCGTAGCCAATTTCAAGAATTAGTACCGATAAAATAAAAAGTTGAGATTACCAAGGGCTTTGGGGATGGCACTCAAAGACCACGGGCAGTTAAAAAATATCCCCGTGAATTCTTCTAGTGCCATTCGCAAGCTAGGTGACATTATGCAACGTAGAAGTACGACTTTGTTCTACCGCGGTTCAACTGATACTGTGTAGTATAACCGGCGTTGGTACTTACGACAGGTAGCTTCCAGTCCCCCGCCCCTCACCATCGCGAGGCCATTGCACCTGTGTTGGGTACCATGACACTGGGTGATGCTTATTAGTCATCGTTCGTGGTTCTGAGTTCTGGGGGAACTAAGCGAGCCAAGTGTATGGTTGATGGACGCGATGGATGGATGCTCCGGTTCGCGTGGTGTTGACTGGGATTAAGATAGTACCATGGGGTAGACCTTTTGTATATGCAGAAATGATTTCAATTGAAGGGATTTTTTATATTCTATAAAACTTTTTACGATGTCGACCACAGAGGCGTAGCTTAAGCTCTCTTGTAAGGAGTTTATTATAAAATGAAAATGCTTTATGAATAATAACTTGTTATGGATATTACCTTTCATTCACGAATTTTGTATCTGTAATGGAAATATTTTAATCACTGGAGTCAATTTAAATCTTCGATAGAATGTCAGTTACGGATTATAAATTTTTATAAAAATATATTCTTGTTTTCCAGAATATAAATAAATATAAAAGTCAATAACTAATAAATATACTGGAAAACATTTATAAAAAGAGAGAGAATGCAATGAATATAAATAAAAAACAGTTTCAAAAGAAAAGAAGATTTTTTAAACCAAAAACAATACCTACAATAAGTATATCAATACAAAGTATAACTAATAAAAACAAGGATGGCAATTTGGCAACCCGAAAAAACCAATGGCAATATCTCTTAACTTTCTTGATTTATTGCAATCTGTTATAAATATATCAATAAACAATATTTTAAAATAGATAGAAAAATGATACAGTGGGAGCACCCTTTACCTATATTAATTCATCACACAGCCAAATTTGTCCACTGTCGAACATAGGCCTCCTCAAGATGTCTCCATTCTTCTCTGTCCTGTGCAGCTGCGATCCAGTTTGTCACTATTCTTTTAATGTCGTCCGTCCATCTGGTAGGTGGTCTTCCACGATTTCGCTTGTCTGCCCTTGGCCGCCATTCTAAAATCTTCTTTGTCCATCTGTTGTCTTTCTGTCTTGCGACGTGTCCTGACCATTTCCACTTCAACTTCGTAATCCGTTTTATGACGTCTTCCACTCCAGTTCTTCGCCGTATCTCATCATTTCGTATTCGATCTCTCAAAGTTACGCCAAGCATAGATCTTTCCATTTTTCGTTGTGCTACTTGTAACTTTTTTATTGATGCTTTAGTCAATGTCAGTGTTTCAGCTCCATAAGTGAGCACCGGAAGTACGCACTGGTTAAATGCTTTTCTCTTTAGCTTTATTGGGATGTTTTCCTTAAACACGTCTTTTAGCTTGCCATAGGCTGCCCATCCTAAAGCTATTCTTCTAGATAATTCTCCTGTTTGGTTGTCTCTACTTATTTGTATTTCGTGGCCCAGATATATGTATTTGTCAACCGTTTCAATATGCCAGTTTTCTAGTTTCAATGGTCCACTAGGTACTAAGTTGGTCATCATTTTAGTTTTCGCAAAGTTTATTTCCAGCCCTACTTTTTGGGAGACTCGTTGTAAATCTTGTAGCATTTCGTTGGCCTCCTTTAAGTCGTCGGTTATTAGAACTATGTCATCTGCAAATCGTAGGTGGTTCAGCCTTTCGCCATCGACACTCAAACCTCTGTTTTCCCATTCTAACATCTGGAATGCATGCTGCATTACGGCATTGAATAGTTTTAGTGACATGTTGTCTCCTTGTCTAACTCCCCTTTTTAGTATTATTTTTTGAGTAGGGGTGTGGAGGTTTATTGCTGTTGTGGCATTTGCATATATATGTTGAATAATGCTGGTATATCGGTAGTCGATTCTACAATCTCTCAAAGCTCTTAAGATAGCTACCATCTCGATAGTGTCAAAGGCTTTTTTATAGTCAACAAATACTAGAACTAGTGGCCGGTTGTACTCTATAGTTTTTTCAATTAGGGCCTTTAGACAAGTTAGATGGTCATTTGTACCATACCCAGGGCGGAAACCTGCCTGTTCTCTTGGTTGGCATGTTTCTAGTTTGTTCTCAATTCTGGCAGTGATAATTCGAGCAAATAATTTATACAGGTGACTTAGAAGACTGATTGGCCTATAGTTTTCGAGGTCTGTTTGATCTCCTTTCTTATGCATGAGGAGCGTTATAGAATTATTCCATTCAGCTGGTATTGCTTGGTTTTCTAAGCATATATTGAAGATCTGCTTGATTGTCCTGATGAGAGCAGAGCCTCCGATTTTTAGCGCATCCGCCACTACTCCATCTTCTCCTGGTGCTTTGTTTTTTTTTTCATTTTCTTTAGAGCATGGTAAATTTCAGCCGTTGATATGTCGGGAATATCTTCTGAACCTTGATTCATAATTTTTTGTTCTGTATGTTCTGTCGGGTTTAAGTCCAATTTATTTGTGTATAGTGTTTTATAGAAGTCTTCTACTATCTCTAGCATTTCGTCTCTGTTGGACGTTAGTTTACCATTCTTTCCCTTAAGTCTGATGATTTCTCTTCTGCTGTTCGTCAATTTCCTTCTTAATATCTTCATGCTCTTGTTGTGCTCGATTGTCTGCGAGATTTTCTCATTTTTATATGCCCTTATGTCCTTTCTAATTGCTTTTGAGACCTCTTTGTTGATTTTATTTATGCTTTGTTTTTCTATACTCTTGTCTTTTAGCATTTCTCTTCTTTCTTCCATTTTAAGTTTGGTGTTAGCAGTGATTCTCTCCTCTCTCTTGTTACCTGTACAACATTTTCTGTAAGCTTCTGCTATGGTATTAGTAATTACTTTATTTAGCTGATTTATATCATTTGTGGGGGGCCTGTTTTGTAGACGTACCGTTATTTGATCTGCAAACTCTGTTTCATTTTTTGGTTGTGACCATGCTTTCAATTTTTTCTTTCTTATTAGTTTATTTCTCTCTTTATCGATGTTAATTTCTATTCTAGCGCGAACCATTCTGTGATCACTTCCTGTTGTGAAGCTGTTGAGTACAGTGACATCTTTAACTATAAATTTTTTATCTGTTATTATATAGTCAATTTCATTTTGCGTTCTCCCGTCCGGGCTTCTCCGGTCCACCTTCTATGTTGTTTTTTGTAAAAGAAGCTATTCATTTGATATAATTTGTTCTGAAGGAGATAGTTTAATAAAGTTTGTCCTCGTTCATTTCTTCCATCGCTGCCGAAGTTTCCAAGTACAAATTCTGATGGATCGGATTTCATGCCAATTTTTGCGTTCATATCACCACATATGATTGTAAAATGGGTGTGATTTTCTTTCAGTGCTTGTGTTATTTCGTCATAGAAAATGTCTATTTCCTCTTCGCTATGGTCTGTGGTTGGCGCATAAGTCTTTATTATTTTGATTCTACTGTACAGCTGTTTATTTAACAGTACCAAATTTCTGTATATTAATTAACAGTACCAAATTTCTGCCTTTTATATAAATAAGTAACTTCTATCTAGTTCCTAGCGGTGGAGAGATCTAGAGGCTCCAACCTTTGGAACCTAGTAGTTTTCTAAGCAGTGGTGGGGTCAGGATGTAATTTTCTTCTCTAATAGTTTTAACATTCAGGTCAAAATGAATAACATAGTTTGGCACAAACCATAGGACATTGTAGACTCACGAAGGTCTTTGGATTAGAATCTTTGTACTCTTTGCATATATGCGTTACTGA